CATGCTGACATGGTAAATCCTTCAGGTATTAAAAAGTTAAGAAGAAAATATGAGTAATTTTCTGCTAAAATATTTGATAATTTAGGTGAAAGAGATAAAGTCCTAGAAAACACAACTTATCAAAATCAACATTGGAGTCTAGTTTACCATTAGAAAATCAACATAATTCATTACTTTAATAGAATGAAGGAGGAAAACCGTATCAATTCAATATATGCAGAAGTACTGTTTAATAATATTCAATATCCATTCATGATAAAAATTCTTAGCAAACAAGGTATATAAGGGAACCCTCCTTCCTTATCTGAAAAAGGATATTTATGGTAAGGGTATGACAATATTATATTTAATATCTATCCCTTTGAGATTGGGAATAAGACTGGAATCTGTGCTATCAATACTCACATTCAATATTGTACTCATCCCTAAGCAGTGTAGTAAGATTAAAAAAGAGACATGAAAGACATAAAAATTAGAAAGACAGCAATAAAACTGTCATTATTCATAGATAATATGGTCATTTACATAGAAAACCTAAAATTCACTGCATTCAGTGAAATTTTTAGAATTAATGTGTGAAAGCAATGTGGATAAAAAGATCAATACATACAAATCAGTTGTTTTTCTCATCAACAACAGATGATAGAAAATCAAAATTTAAAAATGTATCCAAAATAGTATAAAAAACATCAACTATCTAAGAACATGTTTAAAAGTATATATGCAGAAAGCCATAAAACATCATTGCGACAAATTAAAGATATAACCAAAAGGAAAGACAGAGCAATTTCATGGATTGGGCCATTATTTTTTTAAAATATTATTCCTCCTCAAACTGATTTATAGATTTAATACAATCCAATCAAAATCCTAGCAGGTCTTCGTAGAAATTGTGAATCTAATCCTAAAATTAATAGCTTGAAGAAGAATAAAATGAAAAGTCTTGTTCTATTGAATATTGACAACTTTTATAAATCATAGTAATTCAAGCAATGTGATATTGGTATAAATATTGATAAATACATCAGTGGAATAGAAGAAAGAGCCCAGAAAAGACCCATGAAAAGATAAACAATTGAATTACGACAAAAGAGGGACTGCACAGTTGTGAGGAAAGAATAATCTTTCCAATGAATGAGCCCATGACAATTACCAATTTATGGGGAAAAAAATTAAACAACCTCTATACTCCACACCTTCACACATTCATACCATTAGAAAAAAAAATCAGTCTTGGGTGGATCACAGATTTAAAAGTGAAAAGCAAAACAATTAATTTCTGGAATATATAGGGAAATTTTCTAAGCAGGATATAAAAATACAATCATAAAAAGATAAATTTGGCTATATTATACTTAAGGGCTTTCTTTTATAAAAAGATACCATTTAGAGATCTTGATGTAAGACACAAAAAGGGAGAATAGATTTACAAAACTTAACTAACAAAGAGCTGGTAATTAGAATATTAAAAGAATAAGAAAAAGACAGACAACGCATCATAAAATGGGACGGAGATGTGAATTGGTACTTATCAAAAGAGAATGTCCAAATAGCAAATAATCAACTGAAAGAAGTGCTCAATCTCTACTCATCAAGAAAAGTCAAATTCCACCATGAGATATCACTATATGTTCACCAGAATGCCTACTGCAAAAATTCTAATAATATTCCAATTGTCAAGGATGTGAAGAACTAGGGAAACTTATGCATTGCTGGTGATGGTGAAAAATCGGTACAATTAATTAGAGACATGGGCAGTACCTACAGATGAGCATAGACACACCATGACCTCACAATGCCACTCCTGTACAAGCCAAGCAGAAATGCGTGCATATGTGCACTAAGAGAATGGTGTTAAGTGTTCACTCCCACAGTGCTAATAACAGCCCAAAGCTGGAAGGAGCCCAGATGCTTATCAGTAGTAGATAGGGTAAATAAGTTGTGGTATTTACATACAATAGAAGAATTGGAAAAACCACAGCTACTTCTAAAAGCATGCAAGAATCTCATAAATAATATGTTAAGGGAACCAAAGCAAGCACAAAAGGGTCATACTGCATGATTTCACTTATATTAAGGGTCCAAACCAGACAACCTACTCTATTGTGGGTAGGGATGGCTATTTACGGTTACACTGAGTTGATTACTATGAAAATCTGGAATGGAGGGCAAGGCTTTTGGAGGACTGACAGTAATGCATTATATGACCTAACTCAGCGTTTACCTTGTGATAAGTCATCATACATTTTTGTTTCTGAACTTCTTTTCTGTACATGGGTTATCTTTCCCAATATAAAGGGTTAAGAAGTTTCATTTGATGAGAAAGGGAGAGAGGAAAACAAGGTGGACACGTTTTCCTTAGAGGCAGGAAGGCTGGGATCCCTGGAGAGAGACAAAGGGGGCAGAAAAGGCTTACAAATGGGGGAGGGGCCAAAGACAAACTGCTTCCTTTGCAATTTTACTGGCTCAAGTCAAAAGAGACAACAGCCACTACGGGAGAACTCGCTCTCTGGTACCACATCTACCTTATTGTTTCAGATATCTTTGTTAGTTATGGGGAGGAAAATCTCTCTTTTTAACATCCCTTTTGACAGAAAAATGCCTCCATATTCTCTTGGGCTGTACTAGGTCTGATAGTATTCTGCACCTTTTATATTGCGAACAGTTCTCTATTTAGAATCATTTTTGGGGGGTAAACCTCTTAGATACAAAAACTAGCTCTTTTGTTGGCTTCTTCAAAAGCGTGAATGAGGAAATTCTATCATTCTTGGTATAGATTCTCTAGGTGTCTGGGAGTAAATTCAATATTTAATGCCAGTCTACAAAACTACTGAGGTTCTCATTCCTTAGAGATTTGTTCTTTTTCCTTTTTGCTCCTGATGACTGCAGGTATTACAATTTTTACCCATGGGGGTTAGAGGAGGAGCTTACAGCCTGCATACAGACAATCCCAGGATTTCCACTAAATGAGAAAACGCCCAGAGAGGGGAGACACAATTGGGATCTCATTCTAACCAACGAATACTCTTTCTTGAGGTTAAGAATTTATGCTGGGAAATAGAGCAGCGTACTCTACTGGGAATAGTATTTCCCAGTGATTCCAAAGATACAGTTTTCACCTACCATTTTCTCTGACAAAAAAGACAGCCTGCTGTGTGTGTGTGTGGGGGGGTGTTGCTGAGAGTACAGAAGGGACAAACTTCAGCCATTGATTCACTCTCCTGCTAAAATGCTCAAATTGTATCATTTTTAGAAAGGAGCAATGGCTGCCTGCAAGACTTCTTGATGAAAATAGGAATGATTGATGATGATGATTATGATGAAAGTTTTCTTTATGTCTTTGGCTCAAATAATTTGCAAATACATGCCTCTTTTTTTTATTTTGCTGGAATAATCTCAACATATCTGTATGCTTTTACAATAAACTCTCTTAAAACCCACACACAGAATCTAGACCATACTTCAGGGATTTGGATGTGACTGAGGGCTTTGCCTGGCATCAATATATGTTGGCTATCATTATGATTAGTATTTACTAATTTTATCCCACAGGAGAACTACCATTTCGTCCTGGCTTAGCCATTGCATTGTATAAAGTGTCCTGGAGGCCATGCCCAATGTGTGACCCAGGGCAATACTGCTCTATATTGGGTCTTAATTTTGACATCAAGAAAATGAAGAACTTGGATTCTGTAAGCTCTTTGACTCAAAGACTTTCTTCTTCCACGAAGTACTCTAGGTTTCCCACAGGCTGGGGGTTAGTGACCCCTGGGTGTCAGCAGTGGTTGATGCGAAGATGAGCGTGTGCGCACGCGCGCGCACGGATATGGAGAAGAGGGTTTTGCCAGTTTCTTTGGGAGGCAGTGTTTGCCTTTCCCTGGACAGAGGTTGTGAAGGTTAAGAAAACCTGGTGAAACAGATGCCAGGGACAGATGTTACCTAATTTGGTCAAAGAACAACGGGTGTGTAAAACATTTGGAAATCCTGAACAGTGCGCTGGGATGGAGGTACTTACTGGAAGAGCAGAAACAGAATTACCACCCAGAATTCAGAGTAGGGTTGCTGCATCTCAGAGGGTGAGCACAATATAATTAGTACTTCAAATAGTCTGGATTCTGGGGATGGAATCTAATGGGTTGGAAGCCTGAGTGCACCAATTACTAGTGCTCTGTTGTACCAGGTACTCCGAGACTTTGAGCCCCAATTTTTTAATCTGTAAAATGGGGCAAACATTCTGTTGTGAGGGTGGACCAGGACAAGGCAGGGTGGGGTTTTCCCTGTTCAGCAGGAAAAGAATAGAGGCTTTAAAAGGTTTCCCAATCTCATTAAATGAGAGCTGCACTTATCAGAATAAAATTAATAATTTTTCTAATTCCTAAGACGCCGTCAGGTTACTCATACCTCACTGAGAATTCTCAAACGTCTCAGTAGTTTTCTATAATGATTGTAATCCCTGCTGCCCTGGCCACTCCTTTCCCCTCGCCCTTGTCTTTAGCAGCGGAGTGGAAGGAAGAAGAGGCACGCGGGGCAAGGGCCGGGACAAACCTGGTCCCCTGGCCTCCTGGCACGGTGGCGCCTGTCATGGCGGCTCGGCGTCAGCTTAGGTGATCTCAGATGGCAGGTCAGGGAGAATGAAAGGGTCTGGGGGTCCGCGCTGCCCAGACCCTTGTCCCGCCTGCGGTCGGCTAAGCTGGCCCGTTGGGAGCGCCGGCTCACATGGGTCCCGCCTCCCGCGGCGCGGGCCCGCCCCGACCCTGAGCTCAGCCTCGCGCTCGGACGCCCACCTTGGGAGGCGGCTGCCCGAGCCTCGGGCGCCGGCAGCCAGGCCACGGCACGGGCGGCGCGAGCCCCACGCCGGCGACCCCAGCGCCCCG